CAGGGAGGCAGCTTGGTGTGGAGGAGGAGGCCCCTGGTTTCCATCCCCAGTGCCACCCAAAGTGATGTGTTACTCTGCTACAAACACTGTGCTCTTCCTTGTTTGCTTGGAGGAGGCACTGTAGGACACACGTTGGGTTTCTCCAGAAACGATGTAAGTCTTGAGTTGGTCTGGATAAGCACGACCAGTGTATGAAGTATGGAGGCTTGTGCTAAGATAGAAAACTTCTTAAATCCTAATTCTCTGTCTCATAGCTCAAGAAATTTAGGGCCTCACTCTTGCTATGGTAACAGATTTTCAATGAGTTCATCACTATTTTATTTCCTTTAGTATTTTCTACTTATAATTTATTGCTCCCCTCTTAAGTCACAGTTCAGGTTGTTTATCAGGCACCTCCAAAGCTTTGCCATGGGGATGATAGCTGAGTTATTGGAGCTGGAATACATGACTTAAGCAGCCCCCCCCCCCCCCCCCAGTTTGGCATGTTTTTGGTATATCAATTAAGTGCCATGTGAGGTTTCTAAAACTTTTCCTATGGAGTGCTCTTGTAGTGTATAATAGTTTCAAACAGTATTAATGCTGTTTCTTAAGAATATTAATGTGATCCTTCTGCATATATTAAGCACATTCTGTTTCTTATTAAAGTTAGAGTAGTATTTAAGTCCTCTGAGAACCAAATACTTTTTTCCCTTCAAGTTCTGTCTGAGATTCATTTGGTTACAAAACCTGACCATAAAATACTATTTATAGGTCTTCATATTTGTAATCCTCTCACTTGTTGTCAGTATCCATCTTTTGATACAGAAATATTGATGTATTTTATTTTCAAGGTGCTTGCTTTGTACGTGCAATCAATTAACTTGAAGTTAATGGCTGACACTGACAAAGGGTCTACAAATTGCAGCACAGGGTTTCAGGGTAAATCCTGAGGGGATTTAATTTAGTAATTTTCGTGTTCTAATGTATATAATGGAAAATTTTATGCAAATACTGTTACTTATACTTGCACAGTTTTATTATTCATTGATGGATTTTTCCTAGAACAATTTTTCTAAGGGAATGGCGATTTTACTGTTCTTTGGGATTTATTAGACTTCTATTAGGAGGAGCTATTACTATTACCCTGTCCTTCTCAGGCATTGTTCATGGCAGAATGGATGTATGGATACTAGCTTTGATCTTTGGATTATAATCAGTTACTTTTATCCAGTTACTATAGTTGACTCTTCTCTGAGCACTGAGAACTGTTTCACGGTGGCCTCTTTGTATCCTTTCACGATGTTGCCTTCAGCTTTTCAGTATTCACATCCTGACACCAGGTGTTCAGGGCACATTTTATATTGTGTCTGTTTGATACTAGTTTGTTCCTAGCTTCTTTTGTTATGGCTGCCAGTATTTCAGAACATTTAAGCTAGAAAATGTGTGTATGCTTATACATACCCCTTATATTTCATTATGTACCCATCTGTTTATCTTAAAAATCATGCAGCCAGGGATGAGGGTCCACTCCAGTAATCCTAGCACTTGGGAGCTGAGGAGGGAAGATCATCCTGAGTTCAGGTCCAACCTGAACTACATAGCAAGACAAAACAAAAACACCATGAGTTCATTCTAGTCCAAAACAACCTTCCCCTTTGCTTGGTGATAAATTTTTTTGTCCAGTTCCAGGACCCAATTTCATAGTTTACATCCTGTGAGAAACACTTTCTTGGAGTTACACTGGTTCTTTGCTCATATCCTTCATTGTAGTTGATAAACTTTTTAATGTGTTGAATTCATTTGTAACTATAGTAGTATTTCAGTTCTAGTCACAAAAAATTTTTGTTTAGATTGTAGAACATTACTATGATTCTAAGAGAGAAAAAGGTATAATTCCTGCTACCTTTTTTCTGTTTTTCCCTTCTTTACCTCGTGTTCCATCACGTTTGTTTTTGGGTTATCCTTTCTTATGCAAAGATGAACAAATATGTGAATATTTTCTTAGAATCCTTTCTTAAGTGTTTTTTTTTTTTTAAAGCCTAGATTCAAAATTGAGTTAGGGTTGTTTTGTTTTGGTCTTCCTGAGACAAGTTTCACTATGTAATTCACTGGCCCTGAGCTCTCTTGGTAGCCTGACTTACAATAGTCCTGCTGCCCCAGCCTCCTCAGTGCTGGGTTTGTAGGTATGTGCCAACATGCCCCAGCTAAGGTTTTTTGTTATTATTTTTAATAGTTTTGTTTAGCAAAAGCTTTGCTTCTATGGTTATTGACAATGTCATGATTTGTCCATTTGTAAAATGAGCTTTTTTCATACTCATTACTTTGTGAAAGTGATGAAACAACTATTATGCGAAGGACTAATGGTTTCTTAGAAGAAAAACATGCTAAAAATAAAAACTTCTATTTTTAAAGTCTGAGAAGCTGGGTGTGATGGAACATGCCCCTGGCACTTGGGAGGCCAAGGCAGGAAAATCAGTGGGCTACATAATGAGCTCAAGACCAACCTCAACTGTGGAACAATATCCCATCTCAGTAAATAAACAGTCCCAAGATAAGTTATTCGTACCGTTGCTTAAAGAATCAGTTGTTTTCCTTGAACTTCTACAGTCATTAGTGGTGAGGAATGGTGTGATGCTTGACGAGAGCTTTGGGATGGGCAGGGAGAGAGGAGCGAGAGAGCTGCTTGGCCTGCAGCATTTAATACTGGTTAATTAAATCCATAAGGTAAATTGGAGCCAGGTGTGGTGGTACCTGCCCGCAGTCCCAGGTACCCAGGAGGCTGAGGCGAGATGTACAACTTGAGGGGTCAGCGCAGGCAATGTGGTAAGACTATCTCAGTAAAAAAAAAGGAATGGTGCTGTAGCTCAGGTCTAGAGTGCTTGCTTTGCATGCGTGAATCCCTGGGTTCAATCCCCAAGACTTACAAAATGAAACAAACTGAGATGATTTTTTTATGGGTGGATAAGCTGGGCAATAATGATGTACGAGATTGTTTTGTGAGTGCTATCATTTAGACCCTAGGTACCAATTTTCAGCAGTTAGTAAATATAAATTTTTAACTAGGAGCCATTGGATGTGTAATAAAATTGTGTTGGTTAAAAGTTAGGCTTTCTTCTGTCAGAAGTAGATTTTCTTCTGTTATTAACCTGTGGAATTAGGGAAGGGAGGCACATGACCCCTTTTTTACAGGTGCAGAGAGTGGACCCAGCTAAGCAACTTGGTGAAAGTAGAATTTCACAAGTTTCCACTCCCAATTTAGTAGTTTCCTGGCTATAAGGCTAATCACAGAAATGACCAGCGTAGGCCAGCAGTATTTTGATGGCTTATGCAAGACCATAATCAACATGGTTGATGTGAGGTGCTTGAGACATGAGATAATTCATGCAAACTCAAAAACTAACTTATTTTAAACATGTGTAATAAAAGTTGAGTATTGTCAATTAGCTTGTTTTCGTTTTAGTTTGTAGGAACTAAAATGAAAACCAACAGAAACTGAGCAATTTTCATTCAGGCCAAGCAAATTTGATGCTTTTTAAAAATTATTATTTCACACAGGTATGACAGTTTTGAGTAACTATAGAAAGTACATGATCATTTGTATTATAGCTAGATTTTAATTTATTGTGCATATTTTTGCATCTCTCTTTTTCTGTTTTGCTTTCTCTAACGTTTGGTGAAGTAAATGTAGTAGACACTGGCTCTTTAACCCAGAAAAATGTACCTTCCTCATCCTGTTGGCTAGTTTTCCTTCAAGGGTTCTTTATCACATATTCACTGGTTAGGAGAGAGTAGTGAGTCAGACAGGTGCCTAGGTTCTGTGACCAGCATGCTTGAATCTCATCATGTGGTAATCATTTTATGCTGCGCTCCTGGCTCTTTCATTCAGGAAAAACAGTTTGGCAAGATTGCTCTAAAGTAATTGCTTAGAGGCCTGCTTTAGTGAGGAGAGGATTATGAAAGCCAAGGTTACCATAATTTTGGTAGCATTGATTGATTAATAAAAGTATTTGTGATACCTTAATTAGTAAGGCTTAGTAGATGTACAGTGTGTGTGGCATGGAAGATATTCTCCCAGTGTTCACTTGTAGTTTACTTACATACCTTACCTGTTCATATATGTTGATTTGGCCTCTAAATAAATTATAAGTTGTTTAAACCCATCTTTCTAATCTGTTACACTTTCTTGGTACTTGTCTGTGACTATTTTCAGGTCTGCAAATCTTTGGTAGTTTTCCTCAATATTTTGAAGATTAAAAGTTCAGCAAAACTTAAAAATAGAATGTCATCCTCAATATACTGGTCTTGAAATACATTGGTAGCTTTTATAGGACAAACTTCAGAATATCCCAAAGCCAATTTGAGACAAAGGTTACAGCTTTTCTGTGGTATTTCAGCAACTTTATAAGCAATGAATAGCTGCATCTACATGTTGCCTATCCTTCAGAGAGGACATATGATTGATACTCAGAATTTCTGTGCTATTTGAGCCTAGTAAATACATAATTTGATACGAGTATTGAAATACAAACCTTTTCATCTTCTTATACCTCATTTAATATTTTGTTTTAAAATAGTGTCAGATGATTCGATTTATTTGAGATTCTAATTTTGCCTCTTCTATCAAAGAATAGTGTGCTATATATACATATAAACAAATATTGCCGTATTTAAATTTCCTCCTAGTTGTATTGATACTGATGTTACTGTATCCTTTGCCTTTAGTAAACCAACACTTCATGTTACTATATAGTTGTGTTGCTAAGTTTCTGTTCCATAGAATTGTTGAGGTCATTTTTCCTATTAGTAACGTTTACTACTTTTAGACTAATAAAAATATTGAAGCTCTTTCCACCAAGCGAAGCTAATTCTCTTACTTTCTTTTTTCCTCAGTCACAAATTTTGTTTTGTTTTCAGGTTGGTCATCAGAAAGCGCAGGTGCTTTGTAGAATTGAAATTGGGCTGCTTTCAGCCAATGTTGTTTGTTAAGTGTTGATGTATGTTTTGTTTTTCTTCTTACTCAGATTGAATCTGTTTCTCAGCCACTGGAAAACCATGGTCCCCCTGTTGGACGTATTCCAGAGTCACTGTCTACCAAAACATGTGGAGCACTGAGACCTGTTAATGGGGTCATTAACACGTAAGTGTTACCCTTTTTACTTTCAAGGTTTACATCTTATACAAGGTCATTTTGGATCTGTTAGATATTTTCAGCTAGGATGATTTAAAGAAGCAGAAAGCTTAACTCCTGTTAATATTTTGCATGCTTCCTACTAACAGATATATTTTTAGTTAATGTATTTATGTTTTCCTTTCTTATTTCTGTGGCCAAGAAAGGACTAGACATGGAGAAAATATAAGGCCCTAGAATATTGTACACCACCCTTATTGACAATAATCTTGGAAGAACTCATCAAAGATACATATTAGGGGCCAGCGAGATAGCTCAGGGATCTAAAGCGCCTGCTTAGGCAGACTCAGGAGACCTCAGTTTGATCCCTGGCACCACATAACTGGGCCAACCCCGCCCTCATGGGCTGAGCACCCCACCCCCCAAAAAAAGATATATAATAAGCACCTTGGCTGTAGGACAGATGGACTCCTGAAAGGTTATGTTATAAACAGTTATAAAAGTAGGGTTCATGTAGTCTTTATACAAGTGGGTGTTATGAACAGATCCCTAGAGTTCAAGGTTCGTAGGAGTAAGGGCTGGCGAGGTAGCCTAATGAACTAAGCGCCTGTTTAGGCAGAGTTCAGGACCCTATCTTCTATCCCTGGCACCACGTGCTGTGCCAGCCCTGCCCCTGGGTGTGCTGAGCCAGCTGCCAAGACGGGGCATGGTAGTGCATGTCTGTAATTTCAGTACTGGGGAGGCTGAAAACAGGAGAATCCACTGAATCTGAGCTGTGTAGTGAATACATGTACCAAATACATATAAAATACATATAAAAAGAAAAAAGATTCAAAGGAGTACTGATGATAAAACAGCCAATTAACATTTGTAAAATTCGTAGTTTTTTTGCCAGTTGCAGTTTCTTTAGTCATTTCTATTATACAAAACATTTAATTATGAGAGTTTAAGTGCACTTATTGACCTTTGCACTTTTTAGACAGAGTGATTTGCAAAAAAAAAAAAAAGTATGAGGACCCAGAGCGATAGCTCAGTAGAATAAGCACTTGCCTGGCAAGCCCAGGGTCCTGAGTTCAATCTCTGGTATCGCAAAATAATGATAATAAATAATAACAGAGTGATCTAAAACCTTATGAATAATGCACACTTAGCACCTACACTTAGGTTAGCAGATGTTGTTATCCTAACTTAGCCTGCTTCTACAGAACACTTGGATATATTGTAAAAATGGAAATAGTAGAGCTTCAACCAGGTTTAGTTTCCTGTATTTTCTGAGTAGCATGTACTCTTCTTCCTTTCTGTAGTCTTCAGCCTGTCTTGGCAGACCATGTTCCAGGTGACAGTTCTGATGCTGAGGAACAGCTACATAAAAGGCAGCGACTGAATCTAGTTTCATCTGATGGCACCTGTGTGGCCGCCCGAACACGTCCTGTACTAAGCTGTAAGAAACGGAGGCTTGTTCGACCCAACAGCATTGTTCCTCTTTCCAAGAAGGTCAGTACTCGTGAGACTTGGTCATTATCAAGCAGTGAGCCAAGTGTTCAGAGAGTGGGATTAGTCTCTTGCCAACCTTGGTTCATTGTAGTGTTTTCTTTTCTTTCTTTTTTTTTTTCCATGTGTTTTCTAAACTTAGTTAACCACTAGGATTTCCTGGCGAGCTCCTAGAGATCCTGGTTCAGTTATTGTGTTATTTTTAAAAAATTGGTTCCTAGTACTTTAAAAATACTAGGATTCCCAGAGATTTTGACACACCTCTTCTGAAGTTGAGGATGGAAAATCTTATTTTTGAAAATCTCCAAAAACAAGTAGGTGACCCCAGACAGATTTGGAAGTTACTGGCTTGAGCTTTATAATAAAAAGGGAGAGACTGAAGGTTTGTAACTCATTTATGCCAAAGATTGTAATTTTTTTTTAACTTCTGCACGAAATGCATACATGTTACCTAGAAATATGCAAGGAACAAGAATTTGAAGAGGAAGAATAATGTTCTCTTGTTATAGGCATTTCAAAAATGTTACACCAGGCGCAAAAGGATTGAGTATTGCCAAGAACACTTAGAAGGGGAGTGTTTTCCTACCTGCACTATTTGCATGGAAAATGGCAAGGCTGAAAGTTTAATTTATATTTATTTATTTATTTATTTATTTATTTGTAGTGGGTGTGTGGCCAGCTCAGCCCACCCCCACCAGGGGGCAGGGCTGGCTGGCATGTGGTGCTGGGGGATTGAACCGCGGTCCCTGTGCTTTGCTTAGCTTAGCTTGTTCTGAGTAGGTGCTTTAGACCACTGAGCCATCTCACCAGCCCTGAAAGTTTAAAAAAAAAAAAAATTCCCTTAAATTTTCTGAATTGATGTTACTGAACGTTCGTCTTCATAAAGCAAGTGGAGGTTAGCTCACAGCCAGTAGGAGTTTTTGAGTGCTGAGTCTTCAGATAAGCAGAGCTAGCTTTATTTGTAAGGTAATGAAGGAGTAATACTCCAGTGAAACAACTACTGTATAGGGGCTGGTGAGAAGGCTCAGTGGTCTAAAGCACCTACTCAGAACAAGCTAAGCTAAGCAAAGCACAGGGACCGCGGTTCAATCCCCCAGCACCACATGCCAGCCAGCCTCGCCCCCCTGGTGGGCTGAGCTGGCCACACACATACTAAATAAATAAATAATAAAGCCTCTAAAAAAAAAAAACAAACCTACTGTATAGTGGTTAAGAGCATTAACTTCAGAAGTCACATAGTTTAAACCATGACACTCACTTTAATGTTCAAACCACTCCATTCCTGCTCCTCACCAAAGCCTCAGACATCTTATATGGCTGGTTGGAGATTAAATGAAATCTGTCTGCATATGTATGTGTTTGGCCAGCGTTTCTAGTATAAAGTCACCGCTACTTGGTGACTTTTCTTTCATTCATCCACTATATACTGAGCTATCTGAAATGCCAATAAAATGAGCTAATCTGTCCTGGGTACTCAGAATTCAGTACTAAATAAAACAAAAATCCTTACTCATCCTATAATCGTCTCAGCAGAAGACAAGTAATTAACTGTGTTGTGTATGTCCTGTAGCGCTAGGAAAGGGTTCCAGAGATGAAGCAGAGGAAGACGCCTTGAGATATTCCAGGGGTTGGCAGTGTGAAAGATGAGGAACAGTCTGGGAAGACTGATAAAGTAGAAAGAAATCCAAATAAGTGTGATGAAGGTCAAGAAATTGAATGTTTTATAGATAAAGGTAACAGTTACTTACACTTGATAGAAAGTGAAAGCCTGGTGGGAATGGGCTGGGTTCAGGAGAAAATGAGGCAGAATGTGGATCAAAGGAACTATTACAGAAAATGCTTTGAAAGAATGTTGCTATAGAAGAGCAAAGAAATAGCTTGTTTGGCAGAAAAGGAGAATCTTAAGAGTATAACAAGAAGGGCTAAGGGAATGAGTCCAATCTGTGTAGTGAGACCCTGTACTAAAATACATAAAAAATTTTTAAAAAGATTGTTATGGGACCATTCAGATGTGAACAGTGAATTTTCAGTACTTGGTAGCTTTATTCTGATACGCAGTTTTTCCATGATCTTTCTTAAAGGAAAGTATTATGAGAATTGACTCCTACCATCATTTTTTTTTTTTTTTTTTTGGTTCATCATCTTGAACTACCTGAAATACTGACATACTATAGCAGAAGTAAAAAAAGGTTAAGATACTTGGCAAAGTTCTTATACTGACATCTGAGTCTCTTAACTTTTTATTAAGTCATATACATCTCAGTATTTTTGTAATAGATTGAAGCATTAGTAACAAGAAAGCAAGGAAACAGTGTATCACTGTCAGGTGTTGGGGGTGTCTGCCACACCATGCCATGCTCTAGATGGCCATAGCTCAGAACACTTTGCTTGCTGTGGATGTGTACACAGCTCCATGAAAATCTGTGTTCTTCCTCTGAATTAGGGATGACCTTTTCCTGCATTTTTTCTTTATTAATATGACTTAGTGAAGCTTCTGATCTACACATAAAAACTTGAGTGCTTTTGAAGGTACAATACAAAATTTTTAAAAACAATTGAGTATAGGTACAGATTCCCTGTGATGAATGTGATCAATATGAATAACAAATATGTGCTAGTGAGAAGAAAAAAAAAAAAAAAAGAATTTTGTGAAAGAGTAGGCATGAAGGGCCGGCCAGATAGCTCAGCAGGTTAAAGTGCCTGCTTAGGCAGAGTGCAGTGGCCAGAATTTGATCCCCATGCCAGCCCTGTCCCCAGGACACGCTGAGATGACGATTGAGACTGGGCGTGGTGTTGGTGGTGCGCGCCTGTAATCCCAGCTCTTGGGAGGCTGGCAACAGGAGGATCACTACTCTGCGGAGTTCAGTCTATGTAGTGAGACCCTGTAGACCTGTTACCAAATACATTAAAGAAAAAAAAAAAGAGGTGTGAAGGATTCTTTGGTTTCAATATTAGTTTCTGGAATAGAATCATCTAGACATGCAAAAGTAAACTGTGTGAAAAATAAGATAAGTAAATTGACTTTAGGAAGTAGAAATGCTGGTGTTCTGCCAAACTTGGGATACACATACGATTCTCCCTTTCTTGTTGGCTAGTGGGTCCCACATGGGTCTTCGCTCATGTGTACCCTCATGGTGTTTGCTAATGAGCAGACATCTTCATCTTGAGAGCGAAATCTGCCAGGAAGATTGTATGTAGCAGAGTTTCTGATTGTCTACCATGTTCCCACTGGTGAGCAAAACCAAGCCTTCCCTTTTTAGAGCTTACTTCCTAGTGGCACAGGTATATAACAGAAAAGTTAGCAGATATTTTCTGATGTTGATCAGTGGCAGTGAATTCACTTCATGTAAGATTAACTTTCTTTTACCTTCTAGTTTCTGAATAGGAGACTCTTTTAGAATTATACATTTCTGAATTAAACTAATTTTGTAATTCAACCCTTCTCCCTGTGCTAGTATATTTATCAGAGTGTAGGATGTTTAAAAAAAAAATACTATTAATGTTACTGCTTTACCTACATTTAAAAGCCAGTTTAGGGGCTGGGGAGATGGCTCAGTGGAATAAGCGCTTGCCTGGCAAGCTCAGGGACCTGAGTTCAATCCCCGGTTCCACCAAAAAGTAAATAAATAAAATAAAAGCCAGTTTAACTTAGTTACTGTGTTTTTAAGGGACTTTATGTAAGTTTACCTGATTCACAGCTGGAATGTATCTTATTTATTTATTTATTTATTTATTTATTTATTTATTTATTTATTTATTGAGTGCTGGGGATTGAACTCAGGACCTTGTGCTT